GCTGGGACTACAGGCATGCGCCACCATGCCCGGCTAATTTTTTCTATATATTTTTAGTTGTCTGATTAATTTCTTTGTATTTTTAGTAGAGACGGGCTTGCTCAGGCTGGTTTCGAACTCCTGAGCTCAAACAATCTGCCCGCTTCGGCCTCCCAGAGTGCTAGGATTACAGGCGTAAGCCACCGCGCCCGGCCCACATTTTGCCTTTTAAGTCTTCTAATAAAAGATTGATACACAACTGCAAATAATAGCCAGTAAAATTAAGTGGGTTTTTATTTTAGAGAGGTACCATAAAATATTCTATTTGCCTGACTCTACTCAGCCTTTTTGGGAACCTAGAATTTATACTGCTTAAGGCAGTATTCTTAAAGTGTAGATCCCAAGGTACTTGCATTTATAATTTGGGGCGCTTATTTAAAAATGCAGAATTCTGGATCCCACCAAAGATGTAGTGAATGAGAATTTCTGGAGGTAGGCCTGGATACTTAATTACTTTCTCTTTTGTAACTACCAGTGTATCTATTACCTGCCTCTGTTATACCACTCAACAAGATAGAGTTATTTGTTTACCTGCTTGTCTCTCCTATTAAGACTGTGAACTCCTTCAGGGTAGGTATTGTGTTATTCATTACCTCTGTATTGCAAGCCCTAGGTTGGGCACATTTAATTACAGTTCTCAAAGGGTGGTCCATGGATGCTAGTGGTCTCAGAGTCTCTTTCAAGAGTAACAAGTTCAAAACTGTTTTCATAATAATACTAAGATATGATTTGCTTTTTTTGCTATGTTGACATTTGCACTGTTTTGTTATTGTTGTTTTGTAGAGATGGAGTTTCCACTATGTTGCCAAGGTTAGTTTTGAACTCCTGGCCTCAAGCACTCCTCCCACCTTGGCCTTCCAAAGTGTTGGGCTACAGGCATAAGCCCTGGTGCCCAGCTGGAATTTGCACTCTTGATGCAAAAGCAATGGTGGGTAAAACTGCTGCCATCTTAGTGTGAATTAAGGCAGCGGAAACAAACTCTGTTGTCAGTCATTGCATTCTTTCCTGCCATGCATTCATAATAATAGTGCCAGTTTCACAAGAATACCATTCAGAGTCAATAAAAATTAATTTTGTTAACTCTTAATCCTTGAGTTCACATCTTTTTCATATTCTCTGTGACAAAGTGGTTAGTATACATAAAACAATTTTGTTGCATATCAAAGTACAATGGTGGTCTCTTGAGGAAAAAGCACTTGAGTGATTTTTTGAATTGGAAGCTGAACTAGCTGCTCTTTTTTCATCAAATACTTTTATTTGAAAATACAACTGACAAACTAACGGCTATTTAGATTTAGGTATTTAGCAGAACTTTCTTGAAAACAAAGTGAGTTTATCACCTCAAGGGAAACAATTGACTGTATCTGTTGTCAAAGATAAAATTTGACCTTTCTCTGGGACAAATAGGTGACAAAGAAAAAATTTGACCTTTCAAGAAAAAGTAGAATTTTGGAAAACTTGTATGTGCTACTATGAGCTTGACAGCTTCCCCAATATTTAAAGACTTTTCTGATGAGATTAGTGATGATTTTTTTTAAAAAACTGTATAACGAAATGTGTTAACATTTGGAAGAACTGACAGCTCAGTGAACTGGTATTTTTCAATACATGATGTCATAAATCATGCATGGGTAAAAGATCCATTCAAAGTACAAGACAGACCAGTTGTTTTAATGTATTGGAATAAGAAAAATTTATTATTTTCAGATTACACCTTACAACCCACTTTTGAGAAACTTAACCGTTTATGGAATTTTCAGTGCAGTGTTAAAAAATATCCACGATTATCTGAAGAGGCTATTAAAATACTCCTTCCTTCTCCAACTACATATTTGAGTGAAGCTAGATTTTCTTCATATACTTCAACCATAACAAAAATTTTAACAGACTGAATGCAGAAGCAAATATGAGAATCCAACAGTTAAGTCAGACATTAAAGAAATTTACAAAAATTCTATTTTCACAGTTTTTTTTTATTTTGGAAAATAGTTATTTTTCATAAAGATGTTATATATGCATGTTATTTATGCCTGAATGGGTTTACTATTGCTTGTTGGGTTTTTTTTTTTTTTTTGAGACAGGGTCTCACTCTGTCACCCAGGCTAAAGTGACTCATTGCAACCTCAAACTCCTGGGCTCCAGTGATCCTCCTGCCTCAGCCTCCAGCACAGCTGGGACTACAGGTGCACACCACCATGCCCAGCTAATTTTTTATTTTTGTAGAGATGGGCTCTCTCTGTGTTGCTTAGGCTGGTCTCAAACTCCTGGTCTCAAGTGATCCTCCTGCCTCAGCCTCCCACAGTGCTAGGATTACAGGTGTGAGCCACTGTGCCCATCCTACTATTGCTTTTTCATGAAGTAATATATACTTAAATGTCTCAGTTTTAATTTGTAGTGCAGTAAATTGTGATAAATATAACCTACATAAACAGTAGTCTTTAGGGTTCTCAATAATTACAGTATAAAGGGGTCCTGCACTCCCCAAATTTGAGAACAGTGAGGATGCAAGATTTGAAGACAGAGGACCAAAATTCAATTTCCAGTTCTGTCACTTAACTGAGTCTGATTTTAGGCAAGTTACTTAGGTGCAGGCTCTGAAGTCAGACTGGGTTCATAATTTTGGCTCAACCACTTGCTGGTAGTGTGACTTTGGGTGAGTCGTTTTACCTCTATGTAAAGAGGATGACTACTATACCTACTTCCTCAGGTTGCTGGGAGAATTAAATGGGATTGTACTTGTAACATGCTTACAGCCATAGCTGGAACACAGTAAGAGCTCAGTAAATGTTAGCAACTGTTAGTCTATACTATTAACTAGTCATCTGGGGCACAGTGCTGGCTTTCTTCATCCTGTCCATAGAGGACAGAAGCTATTTAAGTGTTATAAACTTGAGGGGAAGGATAAGTCGACGTGGATATTTGTGTGGCTGATAATCTGTAAAGAGAATTATGTGTTATAAAAATTCCTCTTTCGGTTTCCTTTTTTTCAGTTTCAGAAGTAATAACAAGACTGAAAAAACATTCCCTGAACCCTTGCCCTATCATCTAGCTAGAAAATAGGAAAGTATCTTATTCAATACTCAACGGAATTGAGGTCTTCCAGAAGATGAAACACTCAGAGGGCCACCACTCAGGTTCACGACTGTGGGAAGCCCGTTTAAACTTTTCGCCTCAGTTACGTCACCTTGTGTGGACAGACGTATCTCGCCTCCAAGCTCTCTGGCAGCTTTTAAACCCCGTCAAGCTCACCTCTTGCATTTCTTAGGGATGCCTTTTCGGCAGCCTCTAAATGCTATAAACGCAAGCGGGGAGACCACCTTATTTCCTTGCAAATGCCGGCGATGCCGTCCTCAGCTTGCAGAAGTGCCGCCGCGCCCCGCACGCTCCCTTCCGTCCTGTTTCTCACCGGGGCGCGGCGTCCCCGCGTCCCGCACCGTCCCTGCCCATTGGTAGGGGTGCCCGGAGCAGCCCCGCATCAGGCCCGCTTGCCCACCTCGTAAGTGAGGCGGCGGGACTGTCTTATCTTGAAGAAACTTTCTGTCACGGAAACTCGAAATGTTCCCTGACCCTGCCAGCGTCATTCCCCCTCCCTCCCTCTTAGAGACCTCCGGCCCCAGCTCCCTGCCCGCACGAACCACGTCTCGCGCGAGTCCCTCCACCTCTCGCGACACTTGCCGCCGGTTCCCCGCGGCCCTGCCCGCCCCGCCGCGCCTGTGCTCTGCAGCCCAGCAGCTGCTCGCCCGCGGGGAGCGCGGCGGAGCCAGGTGTTCGGCGCGAGCCCGCGGCGCCGCAGGCTCCGCCCCGTCCCGCCCCGCAGGGGCTCGGGGTGAAGGCCGCGGCGGGGACATGTCGTGCCCCCCTCAGGGAGGACCGGAGCTCGTGAGAGGCGGCGGGGCCGCCAGGTGAGTCCGCGTGGGCGCCGGCGCTGGGCGAGGGAGGCCCGGCCCGGGCGCGGGGCGGTGCTGCGGGATGCGGATGCCGGGGCGGAGGAGGACGCGCAGTCGGGGCGGGGCCAGGGGGCTGGGAGGACCGGCCGGCGGGTGGGGGTGACCTGGCTCCGGGCGCGGCCAGGGCCCCTGGTACCGACTGCGCCTCAGGCACCGGGAAATTCCCCCGTTGCCATTGGCGGCTCCGCTGCGCTCCGTGGGCGGGAGGAGACCGGACGTCGAGCTCCGAAGCCCCGGAGCTGGCGGCAGGAGGCCTGGGTGGTGGGAAGAAGGAACGCGCCAAGGCGGCTGAGCGACGTGTGTGCCAGGAAGGAGGACAGCGGGGCCGAAAGCCCGAGAGCGTTCGCTCGGGAGGGCCAGGTGTCTGCCATCCGCGGTGCCGGTGCGGGATGCCGAGCCTCTCACCCTCCTCGTAGGGGCTGCGGGTACACTTCCGACGTCTGCTGCGCCGTTCTTTGCCTACTGGGGAGGGAGAAACGCGTAGGTCAGAGCGCTTTTTGTGAGGAGGAGGCTTTTGAGGTCGCCTGTTACTTTTCACCTGAGACGAGGGGCGATGCGAGTGGGTGTGCGCGTGCGCGCGGTGGCCCCAGGCGAGGTTTGGTATTTTCAGCCCGTTAAGTAACTTCAAGGATCAATCAAAATGATTGGTTCTTAAGTGAATAGTTTTATTTTCTGCATTTTAAGATTCTAATAGACTTGTAAATATGTAAGGATAGGAGCCTGGAGCCTAAAAACCAGGTGATACTAGGACATGGCATGACCCAACTGAGACCTGGAGTAAATTTTCTGATTTTGGCACTAGGTTTAGACTGGCAATTGGGGTGAAATGTTTTGCTGCAATCAGGTTTTGACCATGTGTTCTTGTGATTCTGGGTTTGTTTGAAACTTATTGTCCGAGTTAAATTATGCAGTTTTCTGAGAGACAATTGGGAGCTCAGTGCAAATTGGTTGATCTAACAGAAGCATTTGTTTAAAGCTCCCCCCATCCAGCTGTTAATTTGTTATTTCTATTTTAAATTACATAGTCCCTTTGGATTGTTTTTTGTTTTCGTTTTGCAGAAATGGCTCCTTAAGATGACCAGTTTTTTGTGTGTGAACAATTACACCGTTAATAGAAGGAAAATCATTTCCTCATAGTTTTCTTTTATCCTTAGAGAGCGAAATGTCATCAGTGGAATCACACCAGGAACAGTTGTCCCAGTCAGATCCATCCCCGTCACCAAAGTCATGTAGTTCCTTTGAGCTCTTAGACATGGATGCTGGCAGCTTGTATGAACCGGTTTCTCCACATTGGTTTTATTGTAAGATAATAGATTCGAAAGAGACATGGATTCCTTTCAACTCTGAGGATTCACAGCAGCTAGAAGAGGCATATGGCTCCGGTAGGTGAAAATGACTTGTAACGGACAAAGACTTTCTTCTCTCTCAAACTGTAATATGACAGTCCTGGCAGGGCGGTGGCTTACGCCTGTGATACCAACACTTTGGGAGGCCGAGGCAGGAGGATCGCTTTGGGCCAGGAATTTGAGACCCTATCTCTAAAAAAATTTTTTAAAAATTAGCCAAGTGTGGTGGTGTGTGCCAGTAGTCCTAGCTACTGGGGAGGCTGACGCACGAGGATCTCTTGAGCCCAGGAGTTCAAGGTTGCAGTGAGCTATGATCACACTACTTCACTTTAGCCTGGCAACAGGGTAAGGCCCCATCTCTTAAAAAAAAAAAAAAAGTGTCTGTAGGGTAGAGTGTCATATTGCAGAAGACTGAACCCTACTTTATCTCTTGTTTTTGTTTTTTTTTCATGAAATAAGAATAGTGCTGGTTGGCCGGGCGCGGTGGCTCACGCCTGTAATCCTAGCACTCTGGGAGGCCAAGGTGGGTGGATTGTTTGAGCTCAGGAGTTCAAGACCAGCCTGAGCAAGAGCGAGACCCCGTCTCTACTAAAAATAGAAAGAAATT